CCCCAAAACCCCAAAACCCCAAAACCCCTCATTCTTAAGTTTCAATTGAAATATATTTTATGAAGGAATTCCATACTTGTCTCTTAATAATGCAGTAACTTCCTGTTCGTATTTTTTCTGAGTCTTTCCTTCAGGCAGTAGTGTAGAAAGCTTAGTCCCCTTATCAGAAGGTTTGTATTTATTCTCACAGTAAGTATAGTTAATAACCTCATCATCGAGAGCGTCATAGTCAAATCTTTGATTATCCACTCATCTGAGAAGGATTGCACAATTTCCTAGGAAATTTACACTGGAAACTCGCCGCTTTTTCTCTTGTAGAAGGAATTCCCAGGTGTCAGGAAGATCATCTATAATGAATTAGAAGTGGTACTAAACCTTGTAGACTTTTGACAACATCGTTCTTAGCTCCTCCTGAAAAAAGTTGAATCATATGCCGACCAGATCTGATAAATATTTGAGCTTTCTTGTCAGTTTCTTCAGAGTCTAGCACTGAGAACAGAGGGAAAATTGTCCATGCAAAATCTTCCATCTCCGTTTTCCCATTAGAGTTGAACTTGACTGATTTTATATCAACCAAAAGATGAGTGTTGTAATCGACTGGGACATTCGAGATAATGAACATTGAATCTTTAAATTTTGGTGTTCTAATTGAGCTGTCAAAATCTAGCTCTTTTATCACAACAATCTTATCCAAACTTCTCTCTTTATTTATAATAGTTCGCTGGAGGGTTGATGCTTACAATGGCAATATATAATTGGTCCCGAGGACAGTTAAATAGCATATCCAGTCCAAACCTGAAACCAATTTCTGAAATGTACTGGGAGAAGAAGTTCATTTGGAGGAAATCAATTTTGTCACTTTTCCTAAATTCGAAGATACTTTTGATCAATTCTTCATCAGACATTTGAGCAAATTTCTTTTTATTTACACATCTTTCTTAACTTTTGAGATAGCTTATTTTTGCTTGGATACAGTCTCACGAATCGAGGTTGTCATCTGCTCAACAGGAATATAATCTCGAAGACTCTTGTACTTGAAAATAGTGTCTTCAACTATATGCTTTTGGTAATAATGAGTTGAATAGACACCTTCAGAGTAAGGCGGGGCTCCTGTAACCAGACCCATTTCGATTGCTTTCTCTAGAGATTAATTGAGTGATATACCTCGGTGCAAACTTTCTGAGAAGAGAGGTTCACCATTCTCATCCTTTTTCCCTTCCTCAACTCTCACAAGGAGAGAACCTCATGGGACTCTTGTTGCATCTGTTAATGCTTCGTAAGTAGTATTATTTACCTATCTTTGAAATTTCTGAGAATAATGGTATCTGAAACAACCCATAATTTGCTATGTAGGCTGTTTTGTTATTTTCAGTAGGTGGTTTAAGACTACTTCTGTCTGAAAACAATGGAAAGTATGCAAATGCAGCAGTCTTCTTCTGAAGACTATGCTTGCTTAGAGTGTCTATTTGCATACAGACTAGAGTTGTTTTAAGGTAAATTTCCAACTCCTCTATAAATCTCAGTTCTGTAATCAAAGAATGGATGTTGACAAGTAGAATCAGATAGGTCACAAATTGTTCCTTGGGGTTTGAGAATTGTATTTCCAGATTCATCTATTGCTCTGAAAATAACCTTAGTGAGAGTTGCATTTTCATGTAAAAATCTAGCACTATCAATGTAGAACACAATCATAGAATTTGGTTCAAAATCTTTCATTGGAATATCTCTTTTACTATTTTCGATAAAAGGCTTTTCGCTAATTTCTCGTGGTTCATTATTTTCTGGAATATGATCATCTTTCTTGATATCTCCTTTTTCTTCTTCGTAATTTTGACTTTGATAATCTACTGAATCTCTTGGACTCTTCTGAAGAGGTTTTGACTTTTCACTAAGATCTGCAGTATCTCTCTTATCATAAGCACTCTGCTGGTCATCAGCAGTAACATTATCAATCTGTTCATCAATGCTATTTTCTTTTTCTGAAAAATGGATGATTAGCACAAGATAGCTATGAATCTTGTCCTTTCTTTCTTTACCGCGATGCTTTGTATACTTGTACAAAGGGAGTTCATCCCTTCCAAATCTGATAGTCCCATCATGCCGAGTTAGTTGGAGTTTGGCATAAAATAGAGGCCATGGGCTTGACTTCTCACATACCTCAAACATGATATAAACCTTATCTCGGTTGCCATTGTCCCAAACCATTGTGTAAAAGTCTTTCATCCAATTGGTGCTTTCCATGATTGGGAGAATTGTGAATGGCTGGTTTATCTCTTGGTCTGCTTTCATTTCCCTCAACATTTGGTGTCCTCTCTCATTTTGGGGGATGAAATCAGCCATGTTTATGAGGCTAGTATTCCAACTCATTTCTCTATCTTTATCATCCCTGATCGGATCTGCCCCAAGCTGGAGTCTCGATCTGATGTAGACGTGTTTAGCAATATTCATTGGGAAATTTTTGAAATAATGAAGATATAGCATTATTCCTTCAACAGACTTTTTGTTGTTATATCCTTTGTTTTGACGGCTTTTTCTGCCAGGATGTTCTGAATAATCCCCCCTGTGTCTACCATCTGTCCAAGTCTCGTTGCTATAACTTTGATAAAACGACCCAGGATTTTCGCTAATATTTCCTGTAAAACTTGAACTGTAATCATAATCCGAATATTTCTGTCTCTTCTGATACTTAGCTTCTTTTGAGTACTGATGAGCATACCCCCTAGGATCCATCAAATACGGAGGGTAAACCATTGGAAAGGGTTGGGGTGGGTAACTATACTGGTACTGAAACTTTGCTTTCAAGGAGTCCATCTATACATAACCATACTTGTTACCTTAATCTTATCAAGCCACTTATTTTTCATCCTTGACTTCTCCTTTTCATATTTCTCTTTGTAGTAATCCCTATTAATTTTATCGAACTTTTTAAGTTCAAGGGAAATCTTTTCGACCTTCTTCGGGTTCTTTAGGAAATTTTCTAGTCTGTATTTGTAATCATCTGGGGAGTTTTCAAGCTTGTTTAGTTCTTTCACTCTTTTGTAGTCTTCTGACTGGAGATCGATGGTGTTGTGATCTAGGCTGCTTTGGCTCTGGTTGCGGATTTCAGGCAAGGCTTCGTGGGTTTGGTTCAAAGGGGTTATTTTGGGGATGTATGGGGATTGGTTGAGAGGGAGGTGCTCTTTTGAGCGATAGTAGTCATGGTGACGAGGAGGTGACTGGGTGAGGTTGTGAGGGAGAATGGAGTTTCGGCTGTGACTAGAGGGGTAGGCGGGAAGCTGGAGATGGGAGTGGGCGGGCCGAGGCTTGTAAGGACTGGAATCCCACTTGCTGGTCTTAAGGATGTTGTCGACCTTTAGAGGTGGTGCTGGGTGCTGGTGATGTTACGCTGCTTTTGTTGAAGACCGGTGTTAAGGACTTTGATGCGGTCTTGGGTCAGCTGGTGGTGGCCTGTCTGGGATTCGAGTTTTTCACGCTGCTCATCGTTGAACCCTTTGTTGAGCTTTTGGCGCACAAAATCGAGGTTATTTAGCTTTTGTTTTGGATGCATGTTGGGGTTATTTTTGGATTTCTGTGATATAGTTTTTGACCTTGTCTATTTTATTCATTAGAAAAAAATGGTGAGGTTCAAACATTTAGAACAAAGTAAGTGGAAATGTAAGATATACCATAAAATTTCGGATTATCTTGAACTTCGATAATATTGAACGGATCATCAGAAGTTAGGTTAGCTTTGTATTGATTCATAGTCTTTTCCTTTTCTCTTATGAGCTTATTTATTCTTTCCCTAGTATCTTCTAAACTTGTTTCTAAAAAGATAGATTCCCCCTTATCCATTAAACTCGCCATTTTATGTTGTAACGATGCCTTGCGCTCTCCCATGTCTTTCATTTTGTTGATCCTCTCTTGACTTTTTGTGTTGAAGATTTTTGATTTTTCTATCCGATCTCTGATATCATCATTTTCGTTCTTTATAGTATAATTTTCCTCTTCGTGATATTGCTTAATAGCGTTCTATAAAATAAGACCTTATCAATAAAAATTTAGTACCTTAATGGAATTCTGTTTAGCTTCTAATTCTTTAAGCTCTTTTTCTCGATCATGGAGCTCTAGCTTGCCTTTCATTTTCCGTAAATCTCTCAGCTCGAATTCGAGGTCCCTAGCTTCGATTTTATTTCGAATGCGGAGATCTTGATTTTCCTTTACAGTTTGCCATACATTGTGCAGTCTTTCTCTATTATCGATATTTGCCAACATCATCTTCTGGCTAAGATCTTTCAGCTCAGCTTGGGCATTTCCTCTCTGTTGAAATTTCTGAATAATCTTGCTGTTATCCCTCAGGCCTGGTTTCTTTGTTTCACTGTTCAGCAAGCTAATTTGTAATTTAAAAACTTCTTATAAGCCATAAATTCTCAAAAGAAACTTTGTGTACAACCAATTGTAAGATTCCCGGTTGATATATTTCTTGAGTTTTCTAAACCCCTTTAAAAACCTCTAGCGAGGATATATTTTGGAGGAGGTGCTAGCCCTTCTCCCTTTGTGTATTAAATCTACTCTCTCAAACAATCTTGAAATAACTCCTAGCATGACTAGAGCTAGCAAATACTGATTATAGCTGTGAGAAATATGATATCTAAGAAAATTAATTCCACAACTGACATAACTCTTCTAAGCTCATAACCACTCAAACCAAGTCATACTTGTATTTGCCAAATTATCATCATAAGTTCAGAAATTAATGATTAGTTCTTAAAGAACAATATTCCTTTAAACTGGTTAATCCATGAGGAATGCTAGCCTTCTATAGTCCCTGTGTTAGCATCTAATGGATCAGAACTATGACTGAAGAAAGTAGAATAATTGTCAAGGTCTTCGATAAGGCTCTTATAGTTAAAAAGACAATATTTTTGAGGCTGAAAACCCTTTGAAGTCTATATGTCTACTTACTCTTTGACATTACCTCCTAGAGGTGTGCAAAACTTGTCCTGATGGATTTCCAAATTAATTGGATAATCAAAGACCATTTTTCATTCTTTTCATTCGTATTTCCCATTGTTACTCATTTTATTATTTCTTAATTATATCGACCTAAGGAAAAAGGGGTTTTGGGGTTTTGGGGTTTTGGGGTTTTGGGGTTTTGGGG